AACATCGAAGCCCAATTGGTGTGCCCCGTGCTCGAGCGTGCCATGAGCAAGTTGTCCCAATAATTTGGCCTATTGGGACAGGCCCTCCTTGCGTGCAGTGTGTGTGAACACTCAGTCATGTGACACGGCTCTATGCACGTGGGCGTCTCAGCACGCTAACATGTTTGGTAGACTTATACGCGTTGACACTCGCACATGGAAGCCTCCTTGCAAGCGTTCCAACGCGAACACACCTCCACACAATTGTGCCTTCACCCCTCCAAACCCCTTTCCCTCAATTTCCTCGTGTGTTTCCCTTCATTTCCACTCAAAATCATCATTACACATACAAAATCATTATGCATATCCATTTCACATTTAGTTTGCATTCAAACAAAAACATTCGTCAATGATTTCATCATGTATTTTGGACTAGCAACACACAACATGTTTCAATCTTTTTTATGATTTCAAAATCATAATAACAAGAAATTGAAGCATGCAAAGAGATACTAAGTCCCTTACTTGTGGTGTTGAGTCCTTGGTGTTTCGAAAGTAAGAAGTTTATGCGGGTGGTTTGAAGAGGGAAGTTCGCTGCAGTAGTCGGAGTTGCAGAAGCTTTATTGGTTGCAGAGGGTTTTGTAATGGTGGAAGAAGGAAGAAAATGAGAAGAAGAAGACTCAAGTAAGTGGTCCTATACTTAGATGGAAGGAGTAAATCAGAAGAAGAGAAGAATACTCACCGTGGAGTCGTGTAGACATGGCAAGCTTCAACTTGCTTTAGTGAGGTGGGGTAGAGCTTGTGCCTCTATTAGCTGCACTTAGGGTTATCTCTCTCTGTGTCGAAGCCTCTCTTTCTCTCTTTGTAAAGTGAAAAATTTAGAAGAATAAGAAAATTGAGAGAGACTGACTTTATCAAAAATAACTTAAATTTAGTTCCAATTATGCAATCTCACATCAAAGAGGAATCTTCCAAGTTCCGTCCCAAATAGGAAAGTGAAGTTAGCATCCTTTTACTTCTTAAACGGGATCACCCAGACAGGAAAGTAATTTCATCATTGACTACTTTTCTTATTGGGATTATTCCAAGTAATGGGCCAAGTTTGCCCAAATGAACCTTAAGGCCCAAGTAAGCTTAGTGAGTTTAAAGAATAAGTCATGACACGAGAAGTGTCAAGACTCACGGCTAAGGAGGCCCACGGTCCGATTAAGAATCAGCCTTGGAAGGGCTTTGATTACACGCACAACCTGTGCACCCAGGCGGACTAAGCAGGTCACATGCTTGGTGCACGCACGTGGGGGAAGGCTGCCCACATGCGCACCCCTACGCATGTGCGCTAATCATCTGGCCCACGCCCCACATGGGCCTATGTGTGTGGCTTGAAGGCCATGCCCAATAGCAGCCCATCTGCATGCCAAATGGCCCAATCCGAGCGACCTTGAAGCCTAAGCGACATCTCCTCTTAGATAAGCTTCAAAATTTATTTATTTTAATCTTTCCTACTCCAAAAAGGTTTTCACAACAGCAAAAACTTTAAATAATTAATTTAATGGGATAAATATGAAGAAATTAGAGAAAAAGTCTACACAAGGTGGATGTCCAAGGAAGGCAAGGCTATCTTGAAGATTTGGATAAAGGGGATTATTATTTTATTATTATTTTAATTTTCCAGCAGCCCTATTAAATAAGATAAGGATATATCTTAATTATTTTAATATTTATTTAATTCTCACATGTCAAAATTAATATTCCCATGTGTTTTATATGAAAATCATATGGGATAAGACTTTTTTTATTTTTATTATTATTTTAATATAACTTATATTCTTAGGATTATTTAATTAATTATCTTGTATTTAGATGAGATAGAATAAATATTTTATTATGTAATTATCCTAAAATTATATTAGAATATTATCTAGGATATTATTTTTTAATTTCTTTAAGAGATTATAATTATCTAGAATTATCTCAGGGAATGAGATAAATAGGTCTTTGTCTACAGGTTGTAAACAGACTAATGATAATCAATTTGAGAGAAATTCTTCAAAGCTTAGGCTTTTCTTTTTAAAGTATTCTTGCTAATTTAACTTTTACAAGTTCTTCGGCGAGCAAGAGTCTTCGAAAGTCTTGTTGAGACAAGGAGTGGGGATTAACTCATTAGTAGGTCCGTGGTATTTTTTCTTTCCTAGTTTATTTTTCTGAGTCTTTGTTTTTCTATTCCTTTTAGAATTGTAGATTCAATTAAAGTGAGGGGTTCTCTAGGCGGTTAAGTTTTTGTTATTGCATACGTTGAGTCGGTTATAGGAATTGATTTGATCCTCCTCATGCCTTACTACATCAGAGATGGTGAAGTTGATCGCCTTTTATAGGCAAAGGGCAGTGCGTGTGATCCGTTGGAAGTTGGCTCTTTTTTCCTGTAAGGCATTCCTCCAGGTTGGCCTGCAAATGCTTTTCCTATTTTATTTATTTATTTATTTTGTTCTATTCCCTTTGTATTTTTGAAGATTTAATGAGTTGAAATAAATTTCAAAACATACATTTTTACGCATAAAATCATTCGAATTAAAATGGTAAAATAAATGGAAAGTTTTTTATAGAGTCATCCACATAGATTTAGGGGCATTATATTTCTCTATCCCAATCTCTATGTCTCTTTTCCCTCTCTCTTCTCTACTTTCTTTCTCTTTTTTCTCTCTTTCTCTCTCTAATAGCTATTTTCTCTCTCTACAGTATCTTTCTCTCTTTATAGTCTATTTCTCTCTCTACAATCTTTCTCTCTTTAAAGACTTCTCTCTCTCCCTCTATCTCTCTCTCAAGCTATCTTCTTCTTTCTCCCTCGAACCCTTCTCTTGTCTCTTTAGAATTATTTTTTTTTCCTAAATTCAAATT